GGGGGAGTATGTTTGATTAGGAACTGAACCAAGGAATCGTGTTTTGAGCAAAAAACTGAAATTTCAAACCTCAACCCACAATAGTCTGTAACATACAGACTGCTGGTTCAAGAGTGCAGTTACATATCATCCACACATGCACACACGAACCTCCCACACATGAATGGCTGGCTGAGTACTTATACATGCACATTTTTTTTTTGCTAGTCTTTTATTTCTGAGGACAACGCATTATCAAGTTGAACACACGTTGTATTAGATCACAGACCCTCTGGCTCTTTCTTTTAGATCCCTAATCAGGCCACACCCTATATAACCACAGCTCCTGCTGAGAAGGTTAGGGCACACAAATCTCTGTGGGAAAACCCAAGTTCAGTCCCACCCCCATCCTCCTGGCAACTGCAAGATATGTCTATGTTCCAGCCTGGTATCGGCATCCTCCATGTTCCTTGTCATACAGATAAGCTATCCATGGCTAGGAGGGGTATATGAAACTTCCTGCCTCCCTTTAAAAGTTGTAAAAGTTGGCAGTCTCTGTTGCTTAGGAGATTTCTCTGATGGTTGTCTCCCTCGGCACACCCCACACTTCCTGTTGTCGTGTTGCTGGTGACGGTTATCTGTCTGTCTTGTTTGCTTTAGCTGTCTTTTTCTTTCTCAATGAAGTTCTCCTCCAGGTTTTTGAAGGGAAGCCTCTCCCTCCCTTCAAGGAGATCATGCATCTCTGCTAGGATGCTCTAACCTCCAGTCCTAGTTAGCTTTGACTTTCCACTTGAAACAGCCCAGGATCATCTGCAAAGAGAATCTCAAGTGAGGAATGACCTAGATAGGTTAGACTGTGGGTAAATCTGGGGGCGGGGGTTGTCTTGATTGTCAATTGATGGAGAAGGGTGCAGCCTACTGTGGGCAGCATCATTCCCTGTGTAGGTGGCCCTGAACTGTATACAAAGCTAGCTAAGTGTTAGCCTGTGAGTCAGCAAGCAGTGTTCCTCCATGGTTTCTACTTCACTACAGCTTGAGCTCTTGCCCTGACTCCTCAATGACTGTGACATGCGAGTGTAAGCTACCTAAATCTTTCCCTAAGTTGCTTTTGGCCAGAGTGGTTTATCATAACAACAGAATGAAACCAGAGCATTCCCCAATTGCTCCCCAGCTTCAAGTCCTCACCATAGCCACCCTGTCCCCAGTGGCCATGAGGCTCTCCCCCACTCTAAAGGGCAATTGGTCTCAGCTTCCTTCTCTTAAAAACTAGCATACCTCTTATAATGATGATTTGACCACAGAAAAAGTATAATGTTGTCTTAGGGGTTCTATTGCTGTGAAGAGACACCATGACCACACCAACTCTTTTATAAAGGAAAACATTTAATTGTGGTGGCTCGCTTACAGATCAGAGGTTTAACCCATTATTGTCATGGCAGGAAGCAAGGCAGCATCCAGACATGGTGCTAGAGAAGGAGCTGAGAGTTCACACATCTTGACTCACAGGCAACAGGAAGTGGTCTGAGCTACTGGGTGTGGCTTGAGCATATGTGAGACCTCAAAGCCCACCTCCACAGTGCCATACTTCCTCCCACAAGGCTGTACCTACTCCAACAAAGCCACACCTCTTAATAGTGCCACTCCCTTTGAGGGCCATTTTTTTTTAAACCACCACAAATGTGTCCCTTCATAAACTGATAAAAGAATGAGCAGTATGTGTTGGATACATTACTAATGCCAGTTCTAAGGGGGGTATTGAGACAGGGTCTCATTATGCAGCCCAAGCTAGTCTCAAAATCACAGTCTTCCTGCCTCAGTCTCTAGAGTCTCAGATTGTAAGTGTGTGATGCCACCCCTGGTTGCTACCACCACTTGGCTAACACTACTTACGGGACAGAATTGTTTTCATCAAGGGATGTTTGTGTCTGAGACTTGACTGAGCATCAAAAGTTGTACCTGGTACATGATGTGCATTTCTTTCAGGCTAGCTGGTTGTGATGATTCATCTCAAATGCCAACTTCATAGGATTAGAATCACTATGGAAACAAATTGACAAGCACATCTAGACTGAGTTGACGGATGTGGAAGGACCCACCCTGAATGTGAGTGGCACTATTGCCTGGTCTAGGGTCCTGGAGTGAATAAAAAGTAGAAAGTGGGCAGAGCATCGGCGTCCATCTGTCCCTCTTTCCTGACTGGATGCAGTGTGAACAACAGCCTCACACTCCTGCCACCATGACTTCCCTGCCGTGATCAACTGTACACTCAACCTGTGAACCACAATAAGCCCTTCTTCTTGAGTTGCCATTACCATAGCAATGAGAAAAGTAACCAATGTACTTCCCAAAAATGTGTAACCATAATGTCACGTGTGTGTGTATGTATGCATGTATGTATGTATGTATGTGTCTGCATTCTTCAGACCCTTGTCATAGAGCAAGTCAAGGCTTCATTCAGTTGGCTTCTCTGTCTTTTTGTTTTAAAATAAATAAAGAACACCTCATTCCTTCTTAACACTCATTTGATTTAGCAATCTGTGCAGTGCCTCCCTGGATCCTGGTTTATGAAGTGGAACAATCATTTAAATGTTCAATTAGCCAGTGCTGGAGAATCCAGAGGAAGCATGGATCTCACACACAAGCATTACTCATCCCTTAGCCAGCCCAGGAAGAAAGGACGCACATTACAGACAGCCAGGCCCACATCATACCCTGCCCCTCTGCGTCTGTCACTCAAGCCAGCCTGGACTCCCCAAATTTAATGCAAGAGGCAGTAGCTGGAGTGGAGTTATCCATGTAAGGAGTGCAATGGTCCACACTTAAATGTTGAGACAGGAGGGTCGTGAGTTCTAGGCCATTCTGGGCTATATGGTGAGGCTTTGTTTCAATAAAAGGAAACAAAACAGAAGCACATATGGGTGATTTTCTTGTAGTTGTGACCATGTGGGCTTGTTCTGCACCTGAGCAACTGCCCTGTGGCCTTGGCTGCTGCCTCCTTTGGTTCTTTGCTCTTTTTCATAATTTTTAAAGATTTTTTTATTTTATTTTGTATTTGTGTGTGTGTGTGTGTGTGTGTGTGTGTGTGTGTGTGTGTGTGCGTGTGCGTGTGCAGTGCTCATGGAAGACCGAAGAAGGTGTTGGATCCCCTGGATCTAGAGTCATAGGAGGTTGTGAGTCACCCAATATGGGTTCTGGGAATTGAGCTCAGGTCTTCTGCAAAAACAGTGAATGCCCTTAACCACTGAGCCATCTCTCCAACACCCATTTTGTATGTTGGTTTTTTTTTTTTTAGACAAGGTCTTGCTATAGTTCATGCTGGCCCAGAGCCTACTCTGTAGCTCAGCTTGGCTTCCACAGTCATCATTCTCCTGCCTCAGCCTCTAGAGTTTACAAATGTGAACCACCATGCCTAGCGGACTTTGGATTGTAGGCTTAAAGACTCTATCCTAACTCTGGCTGTCCTCTTTTCCCCTTTACCATTATGATGGAAAGTTGCAGTATTTTATCTTGCAGAGAATCAGATAACCAACTGGGTCTCATATATGTCTTGATATGATTTAATTTATGTGTATGTATGTATGTATGTAAGTGTGTGTGTGTGTGTGTGTGTGTGTGTGTGTGTGTGTGTGTGTGTGTATGCCATATATATAGAACCCATTGAGTCCAGAAGAGGGTGTCGCATCCCCTGGAGCTGGAGTTCCATGTAATGTAAGCTACCATTTTGAGTAGGGTCCTTTGCAAGCACAACAAGCATTCTTAACGATGAAGCCATTACTATAACTCCTGTCTTCATATTTTCTATGCCATTGGTACACATGCAGACTACCTTTTCATTATTCCACTGTCTCAATTATACTCAAATACAATGCCCACCCCTTATGTGAGTTTCTATTTCCTAAAATCCAATTAATCATTGACCCCACTCCTTATGTGAGATTCTATTTCCTAAAATCCAATTACTCATTGACAATCATGGCCTGAAAATATTATTCATCTTGAGTTTCTTGAGGAAGGAGACATCTGTGTAACTATGATTATGATATATTATTATAATTATTTTACTTCATTATTGCTAATTTCAATGCTGGTGCCCTAGTTATGTTTCTACTGCTGTGATAAACAACATAACCAAGGAATAGGTTTATTTCATCTTACACTTTACAGTCTATCATCAGGGAAGTCAAGGCAGGGACTCAAGCAGGGTAGGCCCTGGAGTTGGGAACTGAAGCAGAGGCCATGGGAACAATCTGCTAACTGGCCTGTTCCCTATGGCTTGTTTAGTTTGCCCTTTTAAACAACCTGGAATCGTCTGCCTGAGGATGACACCCCACACACAGAGTGGGCTGGGCCCTCCCACATCAGCCATCAATCAAGTAATACAGGTCAGTCTGATGGAGGCTTCTTCTTAATTAAGATTTCCTTTTTCCAAATGATTCTAGTTTGTGACAAGTTGACCAAAGCAAACTAACCAGCACAGTTGACCCCTTGTCAACCTGACACACAACCACATCACTATTAAACCCATAACCTTTCCTTTATTATTCACCCCCAAGATCTCATGTTACTATCTCATGTTAGTATCCAGTCTCTCTTGCAAATTAAAAAAAAAAGTTATAGACTTCTTATACTATGAAGGATGTGCCAGGACATGGTTACAATCAAATCAAAGCAATACCAATTTCCTGCAGTGTAAATCAAACCCTGTAGCTCTGTGTACAGCATCTGGGATTCACTCAGTATCCTCTGGGCTCCAAAGTGCCTGGGTAGCCCCACCGCCCCCAGCTCTGCTATTGGTAGCAAATGTAGCTTGTCTGATAGATTCAGGCTGACTTGAACGCATTCAGTTGTCCTTGGTGGTCATTCCATAGTTCTAACATCTCCAGCATCCTGGGTTATCCATGGCAACTAAGGGGTTGCCTTCAAAAATAGCCTCTCCTGGGCTCTCTTCAGGACCCTGACCCTGCCTCGTGATACCAAGCCTCAGCTTCTTCTCTCCATGACCTCTTCAAATCCTGGGACCTCTACTACATCCGAGGCTTCACCTGCATCAATTCCTCCACCCCCGGACCTCTCTACATGTACTCTAATCCTGTCGCATGGTACGGCACCTCGTCTACTTTCCATGACTCCTTCAATCCTGAAATTCACTTGTCACCAAAACTAGGGTCACCTGGGAGACTCTCACATATTACCAAGTTCCACTACCATCTTGGGAAGCAATGTTTGTCCACTCTGCATGCCCGATATCTCAGAAGATTTCTACCTCATTGATGCTGGTCTCTTGCCGATCACAGCTCATTTTTTTAGCCCTATATGACCAGCATCAATTGTCCTAATAAATCGAAGGGTTCACTTCAGTGGTGTTGGCTTCTTGTTAATGATGGCTGATTCTTCAGCCCCAGCTGACTAGAGACCACAAATTCCTAATACAAAAAACAAAAACAACAAAACAAAAACAAAAACAAAACAAAACCTTGCAAATTCCTAATAGGGTCTTGAAGGGATTTTGAAGCTTCACAAACCTTTGAGCCAGGCCCCTATTGTTTATATTGCTCTCAGAATTCTTACCTCCAAGTTCCCATAGAATATAGCTCATGAAGGTCTCGGCACCCAATGGCTTTTCCAGCTCAATGCACCAAAAATGCTCCATTGCTTACTGCCTTGCTCACCACGGCTTGCTCATCCTGCCCTCTTATACCACCCAGGACCACCAGAGCAAGGATAGCATTGCCCCCATCATCCCTTCTAGATCAATCATTAATCAAGAGAATGCCCCCTCACACACACAGACTTGCCTGGAGGCCAATCAGGCGGACACATCCCCTCAATGAAGGGTCCTTCTTCCTAAATGACCCTAGTTTGTGTCAAGTTGACAAAGCTAGATAGCACAGTTCTAGTTTTATTCTGTGGCTGGGATAAAAATCACTCTGACCAAAAGAAGTTTAATGGGGGGAAAAGGATTATTTGAGATTACATGCCACGGTCCATTATTGGGAAGTCAGGGGCAGAAACTTAAAGCAAAACCCAAAGAAAAATTATGCTTGCTGGCTCATTCAGACTAATGAGTATCTAGCTTTCTTACACTGCCCAGGGTCACCTTCTCAGGGAATGATGCTGCCCACAGTGGGCTGGAACCTTCCACATCAATTAACAATCAAGATGATCCATCCCTCCACATACATGTCCATAGGCCAATCTAACCTGGCTAATCCCTTGATTTATACTCCCTGATTGGATGACGCTACACTATGTCAACTTGACAGTTAAAGATGACCGTTAAAACTAACCAGGACAGTTAGCTTTCTCGTTGCCATGACAAAAGTACCTGACAAAACAGCCCAGAAGAAGAAATATATTTGGGCTCATCATTCCGTGGAGTTTTATCCATGATCACTGGGCACCATGGAATTGGGCAGAACTTCATGTTGGGCAGAATGTGCAGTGGAGACAATTTTTCTCCTCATGGTGGACAAGAAGCTGAGAAAGAAAAAGGATTTGGGAGCAAACACTTCATAGACAAACCATTGCAATGTCTTACATTGTCTAATGTGTTAATGACTTTCTTCTTGCTGGGGTGAAGTATCCTACCAAGGCAACTTAAAGGAGAAAGGATTTGTCTGGGCTTATAGTTCCAGAGTCTTAGAACCAGTCCATCATGGTGAAGAAGACATGACAGGAACAGGAGACATCCTGCTCATTATACATCCAGGAAGCAAAGGGTAAACAGGAAATAGGTACAAGTTATAAAACATCAAGCGCTGCCCCAATGACCTACTTCCTCCAGCAAGGCTCCACTGCCTAAAGATTGCACAGCTTTCCCTAACTGTACCACCAACTGGGCACTAAGTATCCAACACATGAGCCTGTGGGGGAAGTTTCACAGGCAAACCTCAGCATACATCAGAGGTTACCATGGATATGTATGCACAGGAAGGAACTGGGTATCTATAGGAGTCAGTACAACCTGTGGTTCCAATGGGTCTTGGGATGTAGCCCAGCATGAAAGGGGACTGTTGTATTTTATACATGTTAGTATC